AGTTATTTTTTTCTATAGTTAATACTTTCGGATTTAATCGCAAAAAACTGAAAAACACCTTTTTTAAAAAATGTTTGAACTTTTAACTTTTACGAGGTAAATACTTGACTTACGACTTTTTTAGTAATGAACTTTATTATTTAGAATATTAATATCTACAATTTTTTTCTTATAAACGTTTACGTAAATGTCATAGTTTTTGAGATAAACCACAATAACTGAAAAACTACCCTTATTACCGAGTTTTCAACCCTCTTGAGGCACGGCTTAGGGTTGACCAAAATTAACGAAATTAAGTATGAACCATTTTTTTATAGTTTAGAACAAATTTGGGGGGTGGCCCGATCAAATTTCGAAAAAAAAAAATAAGGACCACCCTAATCAACACTCAAACATAAATATTTGAAGATCCAATAAATAATTAAAAGGGATTGATTCATTAAATTTCTTATATAAAATTTTTTTAAATATTAATATTTGATAACTATGATTATATAATATTTAAAAAATAAGGTTCTTACTATAAATATTAAGTACTTTTTAAAGTATTTCATTTTTAAATAAAAACATTAGTACATTTTATCGTGAAACTGAATTATTTAAACCTTATAAAAACTCTCCAGAGCTTTAATAATCATGATTGTTATTATTTGAGGAAAATTTTTATTGAGAATCATAAAAGAGACTGTCCTATGAAATGTTGTAAAATGCTCAATACTGTGTATTACGACAATTACAATCTAATATTGTATTGCACATCTTATATACAAACAAAAATCTTTATAATCTATTAACTGCTTACAAACAAATAAATAATTTTTCTGTCATAAAATTTAAACATTAATTGTATAAATAATAAAAAGTTATAAAAGAAAAATAAGAAATCTTTATTAATTATAAATATCAAAATTAAATGTTTGTATCTGAAAAAATTAAGTTGGCACCCGTAAATGGCACAAGTGATGATATTATGATAGCTTTTAATTAAAAAAAAATATGTAGCTAGAAGTATAAAAAAAACGGTAGCACAGTGGGGTCGCGGCCCAGTATGGACGGTAGCATAGTTGGGACAAGTATAGATGATATCTGATAGTGATTAAAACCACTATCATAAGAACCGTTTCCAAGCAAATCTTTAGATTGTGTTTAATTTTAAGAAATTGGTAGATTATTTCAAAAGCAACAATAACTCTTATTCCCTTGATTTTATCCCGATTAGTTATTTGAGAATAATTTCAAAATAATTACCATTCGAACTAACCAATAATTTACTTACAAGGGGAGGTCACGGTGATGGGGTCACCGATTTTCATAAAATTTATATAGATCTAATCTATATTGAATACAGAATCAGACGTATTTGGAATTTTTTGCCAATACCCCCCCTAAGTCGAGAAAATTGACTTTGAAAATTTTTAATTAGCTTAAATGGGGTGATTTTTCTTCCGGTTAACAACTCGTGTTATGGTCCAGTGGACTATACTTGATCCCACAACACGTACAGGCTCGGGACAAGTCTCAGCGACTGACAAAATTTTTTGCTTTTTTTTTTCACTGTTTTCTCTTTAAATTATTAATTTTACGTAATATTTGTTAAATTTTTGTATACATTTTATTTATCTAT